TATATATATATATATATATATAGCAAGTATGAAGTTAATGTATCAGTGGATACGTTCAATGCACTGCCGGAGACTTCGAATAGATCTGATTCTTACCGTTTTTATTGGGGGAGTTGACCCGGACTTTTATAGGCTATTTATTCCGGGTTATTTGGCCTCAGCGATCATTCCATGAAGCTGTACAAACTGCGCTCCCACCGGTTGTCGCGTTGAGTTATTGAGTGCTGGCACTCGCTTCCAGTAAATGTGGTCAGGGAGCCTACGCGTAAGGGTTTTATGTGTCAGTTGGATGTTTTAGAATGGCAACATGAAACCTATCACTTTTTCTGACCGCACCCCACCCCCACACCTCGATTTTTTGTGCTTTCCTTTACACATTGGTATTACCCCCTTTTCTTAGACAGTGTTTGATCCACCAAGATGCGATGCGGGTGTTTCGTTTCAGGTTCATTAATTCTTCAGAGTACTTCATCAATTTCTGCTTTGACGATCCTATTGTTTCAGTCCCACCTGAACTTGAACTTGTGAGCTTTGGATTGTGCTGTCAATTTGGCAGCCGTTTAGTTTTGGAGCGTGAATAGTCGTTCCGAAAACTTAACACGTGTCAATACTAACTTCACCGGTGTTACTAGGTGGGACTGTTTTCTCTTTTTTTTTGATAGTTTGAACGGTCTGACTTGCTAAGCCTTTTTTAAGGCTTAAGCGATTGTGTAATATGGTATAGGGAAAGCGAGTATAATAGCATTACAAATATTCTTATCCTCACTTGGGATCATAGAAGCAGACAAGTAATGTGCATTGAGGCTAGAACGAATGGAAAAGTGAGAGGAGCACCATCGGTAGCAAGTCGCTTGTTTTCTTTTCTGTGCGACTCTGGTTACATCAGATAAGGCAAAGTTTATGAAACTGCGAATGCTCTGGTTTGGCAGTTTAGTCAGCTGAATATGGTCTGGGAACTGTCGGTGTCCTCTATGTTAGAGTACGGTTGGGTGTCTTCCATGTACTCCACCCAAAGCTATGAAGTGGGGTCAGAAAGATAGAAAGTGGTCTTTTATTTAATCAAGACTGCCAGTACAGGCCATCGGTGTGTCTTTTTGTCTCAGCATTTTGCATAACCAAATTAATGCTGCTACGACCACCAACGCGGTAAACTATCTGACACACTGGCTTCGATTTTCCAAGTGGCAATGAGCAAGCAGTGCGTGCTGTTTGTCTTCAGACATGGTGTAATATGATCATTTTAATGATGTTTTTTATGATTCTCAACTACCTGCTTAAACGTACAACTTTACTTCTTCGTGGGACTTTTAATAAAAGAGTTGACTAAGTACTCGTGAGTCACCGCAGTTTTTTCTGCCAAGCTGACAAGTCCTTAACTCCAGGTGCCCTGTTACACTTCTTAAGTAACGATATCAACTGAATTCCATCAGTACAGTGGGAGTTACCTTACCTTTATGGACAAGTGCGTAACTATGGCGATGGTTCAGGTTTTGTTCACTCCTCGGCTTAGCCACGCTGGGTGATGCTCGCGGACACGTTCGGACGAGCGTCTCACAGCAACAGATACATTGGTACACACAGATGGTGGGGACATTCACAGACAGTTTATCCTTCTGTCGGTGTCACATGGGCGTGGACGTGAAGATAATGCCTACCTGTGCCCCCCTAGTTGCTAATGACGGCCGCTCATAATCATTTACTAATGTTCTCGGAACTGGTGTCTCCCTTGAATGGTCATGATAAGTAGACGGGCTTCCTTCTTACTGTGGGTGCTTTGGCAACCATACAAGCCTTTGGCTCCACCGTGTCCAGCTGTCGTTCAGGTAGCCTCCGCGTGAACGAATCACACCCATTTTTGGCATTTCGACACCTTCATTTTCCAGCGACTCAATCCATCCTTTTTGATATCTCAGTTGATTTGACAAACAATGGCAATATCATTAACAGTATGGACTGCACCTCAAAGTGATCTATCGAGATTCCATACCTGTGAATCTGAGGGTAGGTCGACCGTCTGTTTTCCTCATTTGCGGATCCATTCACCTGCGCTTTTCGTGGACACAATGAGACTGCTAATTGATCGCTGTTCCAGGTACTGTGGACGACGAAACTGGCGGATTATTCTAATCGCATCCTCTCTTTTGGTGAGCTAACAGACCGAACCAATCTGCGACAGCAAACAACGGTTATATTTTTCGTGATACATGAAGCGCCCTAACTCTGCCTCTTCAACGCGTTTTCAACGCTGTTTAAAGTCCTAATTCGGGCGTAGTAGGATGCTTTCCAGTTTGATGATTTACTGATGCAGAGAGATCAAGTGTTATACTAGAACGCACCGAAGTGTGGTTGAACTTTGACTGGGTGTTTCAAATCAGTCGATAGTCTCATTAAAGTGCGCCATCTATAGTTGATGTTCGAATCCGCGTAGGGGTGGGCGTCCTCGCGGTGTATTCAGCCCGCGCGTGACGTGGTGGTCGCGCGGCAGCGAAGCGCCATTACGGCGTACAGCCGACACACTATCTACTACCCTACTATAGTTGATGTCGATGCGGTACATCGTCACTATCATCATCATCATTACACACTAGTTGAAGGTGGAAAACACACCTGAACTATTGTGCCCCAATACATAAAGATATGATATGAGAAAAATTATAGAAGGTAAAAAAAACAGGCGACGGACCACTTCTTAGTAACATATGCGTGAAGATGGAGATCTTGGTTGGTGGGGGAAGATAATCGGGATGGAGAGGGACAAGGAAACTCACAACACAAACGCCATTGAGGTCGGCTTGCCATGTCCACCAATGTATCCAACCTAACTTGTTCATCGTCCTTCGGACCCCAGCCGGGCAGTCGCGATACATAAACCGACGCCAATTTCGAAGTGGGATTTCATTTCACTTGGCCAAGTTATTGCTTGGCCACCCCTTCTCTTCTATCCACACTCCGGCGCGCAAACAACGCACGACGAGGGAGTCGATGTGCTGGCATGCGCAACACCTGGCCTAGTCATCGGAGTCTGGTGCCTGATATAACGGTGCTAAGCGGTTCACTCACTCTTCCTGTACCAAACGCGCGACGCCAAACACGCTCATTGCTCACGTGTTGCTCCCACCAGACATGAGCTAAGCTGCGAAGACAGCGATGATCGAACGTGACTAGCCTTTTTATGTCTGTCGGTTTAATGGACCAGTTTTCGCAACGCTACGGTAGAGTTGAACGGACGGCTGAGTTGCAAACTCTGACCTTCATGGCGATAGTGATGTCGCAACGGCGCCACAGGTGGCGGAGATTGGAAATATCGCCTTGTGCTTTTGCTATGCGGCTTTTGATTTCATCTTCCATTCCATTGGCGCTCATATAGCCGCCTAGATACTTGAATTTCTCGACAACTTCTAGCCAATCCCCACCAAAGGTCAGTGCAGGGGTGGGTCTCTGCCAATCTTGGAGAAGGACTTCGAGGGTAAAAAACATAATTCGAAACGACTGACAGCCAGTGCTAATTTGCCCCGTACCACTTGGTACGTTTGAAAGTTGTCTCAGATGGGCGCAATGTCGGCGTACTCCAAGTCAATGAGTTCTTCACCTGGGAACTGCTCCATTCCTTGCGGGTCGTGTCCAGTGAACGCAGTTTCCATAACTTCGTCGATGGAGAAATTAAAGAAGAAAAGTAACAACGGGTAACCTTGTCTCACATCACTGGAGATACTGAAAGACGGCGACAGTTTGTCATAAACCCTCACTCTGCCCGAACTATGCGCGTACAGCGCTCTGATAATGTTTAAGTATTTTCGGGCATACTTTTTCTTAGCATACAATCCCAAAAGGCAAATCAATCAATCGAATCAAAGGCACTTTTGATGTCGAGGAACACGACTACGTTGGGTCTCCGATAAATATGGCGGTACTCTAATACTTGACTCAGTGCGAAGATGTGATCAATACAGCCGCGACTGTGACGAAAGCTGGATTGCTCCTCACAAATCCGGCTTTCACGTTTGCCACAAAGTCTATGCAGAGCGACTGGTGCGAGTATCTTAGCGGCAATTGAGATCAGACTGATCCCTGATTGCGCCTTCAGAACGTGAGCTCCCCTTGAAAATTAGGACTATTATCGAGCAGCTCCAGTCTGCTGGAACAGTTAAGAAATCGTGTGGGGAGAAGTTCGCAGAGTTGTATTGCCCGGGTAGTATACTGTCAGGTTTCCCACGTCTGGACAGGAGAACGATTAGGGTTCTCAGCCAATGCCTTTGGTTCAAAAACCCGACCGCAGTGTAGCGGGGTTGTGGCACTGGGCTACGGAGCGAACGTTTTTTAAATTAAAGAGCCACCCTCACTCCAACGCCTAACCTGAAGGATCAGGAGACAGAGTTCGTCTGGCCACTGGTATGATTGGCTCTGAAGGTGAAAAGAAGCACCTCCCAACATAGTTCAGTGGATCGCTGAGGCACGCAAACCATCGCACCACGTTAAGTTCCACTCTCGTCGCGATGGATATGGTACTTCTCTTTCTTGACACAAGATGGAGGTCAAACGCTCATCCGTCCAACTGAAACCTTTGGATTCGACTCGAGGCTTGGTGACAGTTGTCACTGCTTTTAAACTACCCTGTAAACCATCGGCTAATGTTACCTTTTGTCTGATCATCTAATAAAACATTGCTATTCCTTTTACCTATTCTGGGTGGGTTATTTCCTTAGTTTTATCCAACTGGAAAACTTTTTTGGTTCCTCCAAAAAAGATAGTTCGTTTGATTATTTTTCTTGGCTTGCTGTCCACTTCAGCTTGCATGCTCACGTTTGAAGTCCATGTATGCCCGACGGTTGATATATTGTCGCACTGGGTTTGATTAAGTTTATTATGACCAAGACCTTTGCGTGTCACTGTTTGATCTAGTGTTTAGAGCTCTTTTCTCTTTATAGGATTACGTTGAAGTTAATTCTACGAGCATCTATCATGACACCGTCTCTACCGGTGGCGGAGCGGAGTTCCCACAAATGCAACCGCCTTCCCGTTATAGGACCGAGTCTATGGACATGGGTTCCGATTGCTCATTGGTAGTGGAGATCTCAGGCGCAATGAGCGATAAGGACCGTGTAATGTTTAGCATCCATACGAGGGTAAGCTAGTTTGTTTCTTTGCGAGCATCCGCTTGTGCCCGCTATTCTCACTCTCTGTTTCCTCCCAAAGCACATCCTTTGTATGATCACTAGATTGCGGCATCTGCACACATAAACCTTACATTTAACCTTCTGCGAACGTTTAAGTAAAATGGCCTGCCAATCCACTCTACCCAGATTACTTCTCACTCCCTAGTCATGCGATCTATAGTCTCCTTTTATACCCACCTTTTCGTTTCAGGAATCACCAATTCACATTCTAAATAAGACAATAAGAAGACTGGTATTATGAGATGGAACTATTTCGTGTTATCTTCTCACTCGCAAACTAACAACATAAATATGAATCACGTAACAGAAAAATCGAAGGTTTGAAACTGCTCACAAACGGAAAGTATGTAGACACAAGGATGACAGATCAACGAGCTTGATCTTAAGGTCATGAGCCCCAAGGAAGCCTTAGGAAGACTGTTAATTGTTTCTGTACACAAAGTATAGGGCGATGCCGGTTAAGTGCCATAGCTTCGGTGAACCACAAAACTTTTGAGTATTCATTTCAATAGATAACTGTAAATGTTGACCCAGGGTCAACCTGATGGCCTGTTTCTATTATATGTCTGGCGATAGTTGATGCCGGCAGCTTAGATACTTTTCCTTGTTCGGCTGCTTGTTGTGTTGATAGCTTAGCAATCCGTTCTGGTATATGCTCTTCAATGCGCTTACCCAAGGATCGACCTGTTCTGCCAATGTAACTACTTCCGCGGTTACAAACGAATTTGGTAAATACAATAGGTTGTGGCGGTGTTCGGTTGAGTAGGCTTCACTGAAGGCATAGACAACTTCCTGATCTCCCAAATGGAGCAGAATTTGGCGGCATTGGATGTCCGGCAAATTGTTGCATGCAAATATCTTTCAATTTGAGCGGCCACGATATCACCTTTGGAAGGTACTTGAGGTTAGACAAACAATTTGGGCACATTAAGTACACTCAGCCTGTTTTCTTTCAGTTGATTTTGAAATCGAATAAACGCCTCTGGATATCCGTTTCCCCGTACCGTCTGTGTGATGAACAGCAATTCCGATTCCAAACAGTCGTCAGTACATATTCTGCGGGCTTTATGGACTGAAGCAATTAACAGTCTCCCTAAAGCTTCCTTGAGGCTTATGACCCTAAGGTCAAGTTCGTCGACTGGTTATTCTTGCGTCTATATACTTTCCGTTTGTGACCAGTTTCAAACCGATTTTTCTGTCACGTGATTCATATTTATGTTGTTAGTTTGCGAGCGATCAGATAACACGAATTGGTTCCATCTCGCAATACCGGTCTCCTCATTGTCTTAAACAGAATGTCACGGGGAATTCAGTGCTTTAAATACACATTCTTTATTCTTCATTCTCTGGACCCAGCACAGTATCTACGAGCCATATTCACCTTGCCTTATTTGTAATGAGTACTCCTCATTTACGACGTTGTCAACTTGACCATTAAAACATGTTCCCATCAGTGCGAATAGCACAAGTGCCAACGCTTGAAGTCTCTTCGCTTCCAGGTACAAATGTTCGCGTAGCGCGCAGAAACTGTACCACCAATAGACTCGATGTTGTACATTCCCTCCTTGCATTCGTGATTGACTGTGTTTTTTGTTACGTTGCGCATTTGGGCGATAAGTGGCGCTGTCGCACCATACCTTCATTTCAACTTTGCAACTAGTCTAGCTCTGGGCGCCCTGGCAGTATCTCAGTCCACATACGACCATAATTTTTTCTTCAAACGAACTTCATCCTGCATCGGCAGTCGCGCAGATTATCAAGGGTCGCCTTATCTGCTGCATACAGCAGGACGGATAAGCGAAAACATGCTACTGCTGGCGCCTCCCTTCTTTGTTTTCCACCTTTTTCTCTTACTCCCATCCCGACCCCCATTACTAACCTTCCTTCTATAATTCACAACTTGATTGACAGCAACCGAAGCTCCACTGGAGTAGAACCGTCTGCAGCCACCATCCCACAACACCTATCGGACGCCTATTGGCAAAAGTCCCTTATAAGGCCACGCTATTCCGTTTCCATGTCGACTTTCAACCTTCGCACTCTAAAACAAATATGTCAACAGGCTGCACTCGCACGCACCTTGGACACACTGGGTATTGATGTGTATTATGTGTCCGAAACTAGAATCTGTGACTCTAATGAGGTTGTTGAATTAACTGCACCTGGCTTATCCTCTCGTTATTGGTTGCACGCATCCGGAGACGCTGATTCAGCACTCACGGGTCAAGCTGGTGCAGATTTCATCCTCAGCTCCAAGGCTGAGCTATCGTTGGTTGTTTGGATTCCGGTGAACAGCCGTTTATGTGCAGCCCGTTTGACGACATCAGCTAAGGTGAATTCGCAAAGTAGTACAAAACGCTGTTTGTTTGTGATTTCCGCTTATGCTCCCACCGACTGCAGTTCAGATGTTGTCAAGGTCACATTCTATGACGAACTGAACGCGCTACTACGCAGTGCTAGTAGTTCAGATATTATAATACTTGCAGGGGATATGAACGCACAAGTAGGTCGTCTGAGCTCCTCAGAAGCTCATCTGCGTGCTGATTATGGGCTTAACTCCGAACGGACTGACAACGGCGAGCGTCTGCTGCAACTGTGTGCGGAGCACCACACACTGCTTTTAGACACAGTGGGCGCCGAAGTGCCACTTGGGGTCCTCCTGTACCTGGCTAGCGATGGACCCGAATTGACCACATAGCCAAAAATTACAGGTAGCGTGGTTCCATTCTGGATTGTCGCTCATACTGGAGTACCTGTGTCGACTCTGATCACGCCTTAGTACGCTGTCGTTTCTCCATGAACTTTACCGGGAAGTGCACCAAGTGTCCCCTCCGATTGGCAACTGCGAAATTGTCTCAGTCCTCGGTCAGGCAAGCCTATCAAGACGCACTACGTACCGAACTTTCGCAGTCTTTTTCTGATGACACTGAGCTTCAATGAGATAGGATCTCGGCCACCATGCACGACGCAGGAGCATCTGTTTGTGGCACTATCAGTCGTCACCGCACCAGTCACTGGATATCCGTGAGGTCGATGAACCTGTTGGAATCCAGAAGAAACTTCCCGGATGGCTCTGAACACAATGTGACCAGACGGGCTATTAGGCGTGAACTAAAGCGGAGCCTACGTGCTGACAAGGAAACCTGGTGGACCAGTCTGGCTCACGAAATGTAGGAGGCAAGAGCAGTAGGCAATTATCAAAAGCTGATCCACACCACTGGTCCCAGGAAATCAGGAGTCAGTAAGACAATCAGAGATAGCTCGGGTGGACTGATACATAATAAGGAGCGCCGTATGGCTCGTTGGGCGGAACACTTTCAAGATCAGTTCAGCTGACCCCCTTCTCCCGCACCTCTTCCTACTCATGTGATGCAGAACGAGCCATGGGCGGTTGGTTTAGAGCCTACGTCGGAGACCGAGGTCCGAAACGCGATCACAACCCTCAATCGCTCTCGTGCTGCTGGCCCGGATTCCCTCCCACCTGCACTACATAAGGATGGAGCTGAGATCGTCTGCAATGCACTAACTTCCTTACTCGAATGTATCTGGAAGAGAGTGTCCCGGCTAATTGGAGCGAATCCATTACAGTGGCAATATACAAGAACTGCAGTCGTACAAACTGCTAACCACGAGCATATTAGCCTAACACCAGTTGTGACGAAATTACTGGCCTCGATTATCGTTCGTCGCCTCACTGTGGAACGGGAATCTCGGATTAAGGAAGAGCAGGACGTTTTCCGCCCAGAACGTGGCTGCATAGACCATATATTCATTTCGCGGCAGGTGCTAGAGCAGCGCCACGCATACCGCAGACCGAGAATAGCTGTGTTCCTCGATTTCAAGAGTGCGTTTGATTCAGTTGATCGCTCGATTCTTTTTGCAATACTTGCGTTGAAAGGTGTTCCCACGAAATAATAATGAATGTCAGCTGTACGCCGTAACGGCGCTTCGCTGCCGCGCGACCACCACCAGTTGCGCGCGGATTGAGTATACCGCGAGGACACCCACCCCTACGCGGATTCGAACCGGTGACCTTATGGTTGCAAACCAAACGTGCAGACCACTCGGCCACCGGCCGACTCCCACGAAATAGGTGAACATCCTTTGTGCTCCATACTCGAACAGTACAGGCTGCGTCAGGGTCTACGGTGGCCTATGGGTTAGCTTTCCGACTACAAGTGGCGTTCGTCAGGGTTGTCCGATTTCCCCATTTTTGTACAATTTTGTCGTGGTTTTTATCATGGAGTGTTCCCTTGCGGAATCTCACGATGTAGGCGTTGCAGTGCTACCTGGTGAAAGATTACTTGATCTTGATTATGCAAACGATATCCTCTTGCTTTTCGACGATGTTGCGGCGGCACAATCAACCCTGAATAGACTGTCTAGAGTGGTCTCACTATTTGGTATGCGCTTCGCACCTTCAAAGTGCAAAGTGTTACTGCAGGACCTTTAGTTACTTTGTGACCCCTTGCTAACGGGGGAGCTCGAAATGGTTGATCAATTCACTTATCTTGGCAGCTGCATCAGCGACGATGGGCACATAGGAACTGACGTCAGCTCATGCATTGCAAAGGCCAGAGCTGCCTTTTTGAACCTGCGGCATCTTTGGTGACAGAAGGGAATTTCTCTCCATCTGAAAATCCCTCTACACAAGGCCACAGTGAGAGCCGTTCTGCTCTACCTTAGTGAGACTTGTCCCTCTCGGTCTGAAAATCTGAGGCGCCTTCAAGTCTTTGATTATCGTTGTCTGCGAAATATTGCTGGTGTCGGATGGCACCAGCGTGTCCGCAACGATGATGTAGGTAGGCGATTACTAGGTGGTGATAATCATGCTAGCTCCCTAGAACAACGGATAACACTGAATAAGTTGCGTTGGCTCGGGCACGTGCTACGTACGCCTGGTCACCGCTTACCTAGAAGGGCCTTGTTCAGTCTACCAGGTGTCGGAT